GCCTTGAGCAAAAATGCTAAAACAGCACTCAGACCCTGAGTTCAAACGCCAGTATTAGTATACTTACACACACACACACACACACACACACACACACACACACACACACACACACACACACACACACACTGATCTGAGTGACTGAAGGTGGAATGCAGATTTAGTGGTCTACTTGAATGTAAGGGATTATTTGTTTTGAGATCGCTGAGGAACACCCAGACAGTCTCCTATTGCAGCCTCAAGTTTTGGGTTTTCAAAGTTTTTGAATTTCTGAATTCTTGCTGGCAGTAAGTCATGAATTGGGAGAACATTCTACTTTGGCGGGGGAAGGAGGAAGGAGATGTTAAAGTGTGACTAATACAAAAGGAAAAGGTATTTTGTTTTGTTTTAGTTCTGGGCTGGCTGGGTTGTTACAGGTAGAAGAGATGAAGGGCCTAAGATCTAGTTAAGATAGAGTGCTCTCCATCAGAGCAAGCAGGGAACTCTAGGAAGGGAGGGAGAAGCTGGGTAGAAAGCAGTGCTGGAGTTGGTTTCCCAGTATCATTGCTGGATCTCTGGATGGCAGCTCTGCTGCCCAGCAGTCACACTGTGCCTTCCTTACTGGAAGAAAATGAACACTCCAGGCATCCAAAACCAGAGTTTGAGGTCACACAGAGCCCAGCACCTCTGTCCGGATGTACCAGTGCTGCTCCCCATCCTCAGTCTTCTCTTCCTTGACAGCTACTCATTTTTGCATTGGAAACTCAGCCAAGGATGAAATCCCCGGGGTCCTGGCATATTTGCATGATTGGGAGAAACAGTGGTGGTCAGTCCTTGGCTGCTCTAGGCCATCACCCAACAGCCCTGGATATGGCATAGTGGGGGGTTGCACATATACCCACAAGGCATGGCAAAATCAACCTTGGACAGGTAATTGCCTATGCAAACATTGTTGGTAATCTGCACTCCTAAAGTAAACTCTTGAAAGATGGAAAGATGTTAGCAATTTCTGACCACATGTGCGTTCGTCCCCACTCTCCCCACCTCCAGAAAGAAAGTGAGCCAAATGGCAAGAAGGAAAACTTCTAATGCATAACACATTTCCATCATCTGATTTCCCACTCCCCTCACCCGTCCCCACCTATGTAAACTAAATTCCTTTACACGGTCATGGCAAAGGGAACGTTAATTTTTGATTTGAGTTGTGATTAAAAGCAACACAATCAAAAGAGTGAAATTGTTTCCACTGAAGCAGTATCTTTTTAAACTGAGTCATGGATGGTAGAGAGAGTGTGATCTATGCATTTAAGCATAGGTTCTAGGACTGACCGTGTCTCTCACAAACTGTGGCCTTGTGTTACCATTGCTTAGTCTTGGTTCTTCTTTTGATTGTAATCAAGTAATTATGCTGACCACTCAATTTGGTTGGTGTGAGTAGTGAGGCAAGAGTCATAGTAGAATGAACATCTACCCTGTGTTTATCTTGAGAGCCTGGCATGTGGTAGGTACTCAGTAAACGGTGGCACACATCTCTGTAGAAAAGAGGGTATTACGTTATCAGTTGGTACATGCATTAGATCCTCCTGATGTTGTGCTTTATTACTCCAAGAGCAATGCTTGGTTCAAAGCCTTAATTTAGGGACTGGCTTGGGACTGATCTAACAACCTAGGGATACTTTTTGTGTCCTGTGAAAGGAGTGGAATTGTTCTTTCCCTTGTGGCCCTATAATAATCTGCATCTTCATCTCATCTTTGATGAGTGGTATGTTAGCTTTCTGGTACTATAACAAATACTCAAGACTTATTAAGAGCCAGGTTTCTTCTGGCTCACTGTAGGGAGATTCTAGAACATGATTAGTTGGTCCATGTCTTTGGGTGAGGCAACACCTCATGATAGAAATACATGCTGCAGCAAAACTGCTCATTGCATAGCCAGGAAACCAGAAAAAGAAAAAGAGGCCTTGGGTCTTATAATCTCCTTCACAGGCACATCCCAACGGATCCTTCTCCCTAAATGACCTACCACATCTAATAGAGCCACTCTGGGACCAAACCTTGAAAATACAGGAACAAAGAGGAACACTTGAAATCCAAAGTTAGCAAGTGTTTTCTCCCACTTGTGCTGGCTCAGTTCTGCAGGGAAGGTGGGTCCTGACCCTACCTTGGTCTGGGTACTAAGTCTCTATTTGATGGCTCCTCACTCAATCCTACTGAGAACTTTTGTCTTTCATCAGGCCACACACTGCAACAGGCAGTCTTTTCTCAAGTGAACCACTAGGTTCAAGGATCACAAGTCAACAATGGAGGTGGAAGCAGGTACGGGCCTGTTTGGGCTTGTCTGGAGTGAGGCCAGTAAGGGGTGGTCTGTGCTTTGTAGGCACTATACTCTCTTGCCTGCTAGCTCCTGATTGTTCTTCACCATGGGGGTGAGGGAGAAGCAAAATCAGAAACACTGAGCAATGGCTAGCTTAAGGTGGGAAAAGAGTTTGAAAAAAAAAAACCCAACAAACTTACTGGAAAATTGTACTCAACTTACTTCCATGTGTGCTAGAAGCTTGGTGCAGCCTAGAGGTCAGTATTAATCCTCAGTTAGGGCCTCTGCTTCTTAGTGTCCAGTTCTGACCTTTCAGCCCCACTGGATGAGGCCTTTTTCAGGCCTGGAGTATTATGTAGAGCTTGAGTTACATATGTTCCAAGATTTGGAAGTTCTTTCATCAGAAAAAGAAAACAGTGGGACACATTTATTAAAGATTTGTTACTAGAACTTTTTGCACTCTTTACTGGTGGGTTGGACAAGAGTGTGGTTTTCTAATCAGTTGAATGTTAAATAACAAGACCTTTGCAAACAGTGTTCTTATTTGGTTAGAGGAACTTTGACTTCATGAAAACAATCATTTTAAAATACGGGTGAAGCTGGGAATAGGGCCTGTTTTTCTTCCCTTTTTGTTTGTGGTCCGTGTAATGAGTATTGTAAGTTTTAGGTTCATTATAAGGAACTTTGGAGCCTAGAGGCAGCAAAGACAGCATGGTGTTTGAAAATGCATAGTCAGACATAGCTGGATAATTGCCTGTGCAAAGGCCCATGTTTTGAAGACTTGGCCTCCAGCCTGTGGCACTGTTGGGAAGTAGTGGAACCTTCCGGAGGGAGTGCCTAGTGGGAGCAAGCTTGGTCATTGGGTGTGTGCCCTTGAAGGGAATGTTGGGGACTCCAGCTTTTCTTCACTCTCTCTTTTTACTTCCCAGGAAGTGAGCACCTTATTCCGCTGTGATATGCTGTCTTACCAGAGACCCAAAGCAATAGGGGCAATTATGCATGTACTGGAACCTACAAAACTATGGGCCAAAGTAGATAGTTTCTCTTTGTCAGTTGATTTATCTCTAGAATGTTACAGTGATAGAAAATGCACATGGCTTAAGCATTAATGATTTGAGGCAAGCCAACTCAATTCCTTAAGTGTTCTCATTTAGTACACGTGTAGCTCATTGAGTGTCTTTATCAACCATGTGGCCAGCAGTGAAAGACCTGATCCACAGGGATCAAAACAATGTTAAGGGCTGGGACTGTGATTCAGTGACAGAATGCCTGCCTAGAATATGGTGAGGCCCCACTGATCACAGAAGCACACAGAGAGAGCAATTGTGTATGAGAGAGAGAGAGAGAAAGAGAGAAAGAGGGAAAGAGAGCTTATAGAGACAAAGAAAAGAGGAGGCAGAGTTGAGAGGAATAGTGGTTTTCTCTTTTTGCTGCCAATTATGCTGAGAATAGAAACAACCTTGCACGGTACAAGGTTTGAAGAGATAATTACCTAGATGTAGCAACTAGGGTTTCCCCATGACCTGTTCTGAGCTATTATGAAGTCTTTGTGAGCAGGGCTCATGGTAACAGAACATGAGCAGTGTCTGCTGTCTAGCTCCCCTTGAGACTCTGGTTCTACCCATGTGGAGATTCAGAGGCTGGAGATGTCAAGGTTGAATGCACCCAAGCATGACAGTTTGCTGTTTACTCTAAATCGCCCTTGCTGTGTGTGCGCATCCATTCCTGCTGCCTTGTTAACAGGACTCAACTTTCAAGGAATTTTGGATATTAAAAACCTAAACCACTAACTTTCTCTTATAAAAAAAAATCAGGCTAAGTTCCCCCCTTGGAATGCTGAGATCTGTAGCATTAGATTATATGGATTAAATTGGATTATATGAAACCCTTCTGTCAAAGCATTGTATGAGATTCCAAATCACTGAATTTCATGAAAGAAAAATATGATTTGGTTTTGAAATTTTAAGAACCTCATGATACACTATGACAATTCCAGAGATGCTTTTAGATCCCACAAAACTAGGGTGGTGATGTGGGTACCAGGCAGCAATGAAGACTTTTTCTTTCTTTATTTTAGGGGGCTAATACTGTGGCTTGAACTCAGAGCCTAAGCAAGTCCCTAATCATTTTTTTTTTTTTTGATGTGTCATGGGGCTTGAAGTCTGGGCTTGGGCACTGTCCCTGCGCTCTTCAGCTCAAGACAAGCACTCTACCACTTGACCCATAATGCCACTTCCGGTTTTCTAGTGGTTTTATTGGAGATAAGAGTCTCACAGACTTTCCTGCCCGGGCTGGCTTTGAACCGGGATCCTCAGATCTCAGCCTCCTGAGTAGCTAGGATTACAGGTGTGAGCCACCAGCACCTGGCCTTAATCTTTTTTTTTCTCTCTCTCTCAAGGATAGCACTCTATTACTTGAGCCATACCTTCACTTCCAAATTTTGGGTGGTTAATTGGAGCTAAGAGTCTCATGGACGTTCCTGCCTATGTTCGTTTCAACATAGCTAGATTACAGGTGTGAGCCACTGGCTCTGTGCTGAGATCTTTAGGGTGGAGGGTTTATTTTCAGGGCTGCTGTCTCTCCTGCTTGTTTTAGTTTCTTTCCTTCTCCTCCACTGTGGCCATGAGTCCAGGTTACTGTTTCAGGCGAAGTGTTCTAAATGCTTTCTCTTCCTTCCCCTTTCTCTCTGTTCTCCCACCATCCCTAGCACTGAGGATGAAAATAAAAGAAGTGAAGAAAGAAAATGGTGACAAGAAGATTGTCCCCAAAAAGAAGAAACCCCTGAAGCTGGGGCCCATCAAGAAAAAGGAGCTGAAAAAGCTGGTGCTGTACCTGAAAAATGGAGCCGACTGCCCCTGCCACCAGCTGGACAACCTCAGCCACCACTTCCTCATCATGGGCCGCAAAGTGAAGAGCCAGTACCTGCTGACAGCCATTCACAAGTGGGACAAGAAAAACAAGGAGTTTAAAAACTTCATGAAGAAGATGAAAAATCATGAGTGCCCCACTTTTCAGTCGGTCTTTAAGTGATGCTCATGGGAAGGTTGGGGAGGGAGCTGTGGGCTGGGTGAGCACTGGGGAGAGCAGAGACCCTGGACCTCCTCTGTTTCATATGCACTGTTACACTATTCCTGCCCTTAGCAGACCTTGTAATGCAGTTGGCTTTGTTCGCAGCATCCTCACCCCCTCCCCCTCACAGCCATGCTCCAGACCCCAGCATAACTATGTCCAGGTACACCCGGACCATTTAGATTAGGAAGGCTTTAAAGATCTGTAACATGGAACAGCTGTCACTGCAAAAGGTGCGCAAAAAACATTGCACCCACAGTCGCAGGCTCCACAAAAGAAAAGTTGCCAATTTGGGGAACAGGTTAAACAAAAGGGATCGTGGAAAAAAGTGAATGAGAGAGAGAGAGAGAGAGAGAGAGAGAGGAGAGAATGTGTCTTAAATTGTGCATCTTTCTGAGTGTTGATATAAATTGCTTATGGTTCCTTGGTTCTATGCCTTTGGAAGTAGAAAATTCTAACTATTGGTAAGTCATCTTGCTTTCAGTCCCAGAGTAATTTCTCTGTCTGCTTTAGATAGAAACACACACACACACACACACACACACACACATTTAAGACCAATTCTGAAAGTGATGGGGTAGGAACAAAACCAAAAGCCCAGTATGCAATAGTGAGTACACAGAAGGGAGATGTTGCTTTCTCTGCCCTCACTTTTACCACTAGATTCTTCAATATGAATTCATTAACGAGGGGCAGTCTGGATCAGCCCAATGTAAGGTCTTCAAGATTGGGGAGGAGGGGCACATATCTGCTTTTGTGTGAAGAAGAGCAATGTTATAAGCATGAAAGAATTGAGGCTAAGAAGATAGTGTTCAAAACACAGTTAAAAAAGAAAAAAGGAAACAACGAATAGTAAGGATGTATTGTGAATGAGGAAAAGAGGTTCATATCCTAATTTTATCTGTTGCATCTTTTAAAAATAACAACAATGGGAACAACATGACAAATCCTACTTTTTTTGTTTGTTGGTTGTGGGACTTGAACTTGGGGCTTGAGCACTGTCCCTGAGCTCTTTTGCTCAAGGCTAGAGCTCTGCCACTTTATTAAGCTCTACTACTTGGAGATAAGAATCTCATGAACTTTCCTGCCCTGTTTGGCTTTGAACCAAGATCTGCAGATCTCAGCCTCCTAAGTAGCTAGGATTACAGATGTGAGCCACCAGCTACAGACCTACTAACTTTTTTGATTAATAAGTCTACACTGAGAATCTGAAAGGTGAACCAAGATAAAGGTCTCTCTTCCACATGAAACTCCTTTAACAAATCTGGTGTCAGCAGCAGGTGGGTTTCCCTAGCAGATCCTTTTTCCCTAGGAGAGCTCAGCTGCCCTGGAACCCACAGCACAAGCAACCCCTACAGCACAGGTTCATGTGCTTTGCCTTTCTGTGAAGGGATTGATTCCTTTACATGTCATTGCCTGAAGATCGAGGAGATTCAGAACAGCCTGCCTTCCTGACCCCTTCACTCTCCACTTTCTACCTTTTTCCCATCGCTGCAGAGGGGAGGTTGACATGAGTGTCCTTGTCCAAGGAGAGTTTCAAAGGCAAACCCATCCTTGAATTTTCTCCCAAATGCTGGAAGGTAGTCTTCAGAACTGTTATACTTATGAAGCAATGTAAATAAACTAGTCCTCCTAGACAGTTTTACTCCTGTTGTCCAATGCTGAGGAACTAGTTTTTTTTAAATGAATGTTAATTTCTTCCACCAAAGCCCAATTCTTCATAATCTGTCACATTTCAAGGACCTTCAATGGCAATCCCTCTGGACATCTAGTCTGCAGGCAGCAATTAGACATCAGGAGTTACCAGTGGGAGATTCTGTTGTCTGAAATTCAACATGTCAATGTAGTACCCAATGAGTAATCCTGACATAATTAATAATTCACAATTAGTAATCCAAGCATTTAACACCTTCTGAAGAAATTCTCTCTGATGTTTAACTATAAAGTCAATACTTTATGTTATTTGCCTGTACTTTTGGGTGATTTAAAAATGTGTGTGTATATAAATATATATATTAGTAATTAGAAATACTCTACTTTCCTACTGTTCAATTAAAATTCAGAGCAGTTTCATGAGTGGGTGGAGCTGGGCCTTGCTTTTGATTAAGTCAAGAGTTGAATGCTCCTATGTATCTGCTCATTTTGATAAAGTACATTATGCAGCAGGGCTTTCTCCATATGGTTGGGGTCCGAAGAGAGGGATTCATCCAGGGTCGTAGTGGTTCCCACAGGAAGAGTATGTAGAAGAGTGGCCAGGCTATGTGAGGGCTCTCTGAGTGGGTTTATTCTCAGGCAGGAAGCCATTTCTTAGAAAAGTTTGCAGCAAACTGTAAAGGTCCCTGGCCTTTGAGTCTCACTGTAGCTATTAGTGAGAGCTTTAGACACAGACCACATCAGCAAGCTCAGAACAAAATGGAAGGCTATCTATGGGCTCAAAGCTGCATGATCACCAACCTTTGTTTTTCCCAACAAAGGGTGTTAACATAAACCAATGTGCAGACTCATTGGCTTAGTCATTGACTTCCAAAAGAGAAAGTCCGTATGTGGATTGATAAATTTTGCTAGCACAGAGGTTGGATTTGTAAAGCTTTAAAAATATTCATTCTGCAGTAAGTCCTATGAGGCCATTGACAGAACTTGGCTAAATCCTTGAAGAATATTAGTAGTCTTCTTAAAATAGAATGGGAGGTGAGAATTCCAAGGTGAATTTCCAGCCAGAATCCCATCAAAGCATCCGTTTACATTTGGATCTGTAAATTACATAGATGGAATGGGCTCCATGATTTGTTTTAGAAGCATGGCTTAGGCAATTTCTTGGGATAAGGGACTAGTCAGTCTGAACTGCACCAGTAAATCAAATCCCCTGGTTACTTCATGGAGGATTCCTCTTCTAGAGACTAAATCTTCTATGAAAGCTTTGAATACTGTGAAGATGTTTTACATTCCATTTCATTTGTATTTTAACTGCATTTGACCAGATGTTTTGATGTTATCACTTATGTTAATAGTAATTCCTATACGTGTGCATTTTGTTGTCATGCTTTCCCTGTATGTATTCACTTAACTAAAAATCACTCAGTTAATCAATGTGAATTGTGACTCCCTCTCCCATAGTTTCTACTCACCCTCTTCCACAGCACACACAGGCACATGAGTTGTTTCAATGGGACTTTTTAGTCTCTATTCAACAGTTTCAGATGTTAATTGGGAGTGGTTGGAAGGGACCCTGAGAGGTACCATGGCCTACCGCGTCTTCTCTTCCCATTGACCATCATGGACTCCTATGAATAAGTGCTTGAATCACATGTCTCCAGACTGTTCAATTCAGATCATAGAGAAGGTTAAATATTTGCTCTATGAGGATGTGGTTTACAGCCTTGCTGGAGTTTCTCTTCCCTATTTCTGGTTGCAGATGTTCATTTCCCTCTGACCCAACTCCACATTCAAATTGCCAGCTGGAACTTGGACATTTTGTATCTGGAGTGGTGGATCAGTATGCCTTCTTTGTTTTCAGGCAAACAATCTAAGTTGTGATGTGTCTGGGATTTCACATGGGACCCCAACTCAGCCAGAACCCCTGAATCTCAATTGTGGTAGGCACAGGGTCTGCACTGACTGCTGGGTTTCCCTTTGGACCATGTGTTGCATTTTGCTGAATCTAAGCTGTTTCCTATTAGGTTGCAGGCTTCTTGCCTAAGGAATTCTTCCATAGGACTTTCAATGCTGTAAGCAGTTGTGGTGCTCATACCATCTGAGGAGGCTCCCTAATTAACAAAGCACCCTAAATCCTGATGCAACCAGTAGTTTTCCCAACAGTGAACAAATAGCCTCAAATCACCCCAAACCATGCACAAGCACAGAAATGCTACTGTTTTAGGTAAAGTAGGAAGACTTGTATGGTTTTGTTAAAGTTACTGCCTGACATTAAAAGATCGTTACATTCTCATGCACTTGGCTTGGTGAAACAAATGCTGGCCCAGCCACGCAGAGTATTTCTGTTCCCAGTGGTTAACAAGCAGGAGTTTCCTTTGGACTACATGCAGATGTCATTGTCACCCTCATCCAAGCACTACTGCCATGATCCTCAATTTCCCATTGTTGTCTTGAGTTTATTTCAACTTTATTATACTTTTTTTTGTATTTGTTCTTATTGGCATCAATTCGTTGTACAAGGTTTCATTTTGACATGCCAGATGACACTTTGACATGAACATAAGTATATTGATCAGACTCAGCCCTCCATCATTCTCCCTCCTTCTCCAATCCAGTGTCAGCAAAATTCATTGTTTCATTTACACATATTGTGAGCATATTCACCTACTTTATCTTCTCTGGTCCCCTGCTCATCTCCCCTTAGTCCCTATACACCAGAGAGGACATTTTCACCTTCCTAATATTCAATGTTTTGTTAAAGTTCATGTTAATCATTCAAAGGGGCTTAACCATGGCACCTCACACATACATCTGCCATATCTCAGTCAGATTTATCACATTTGTATATATGTACGTATGTTTATCTTTTAGGCTACCACCCATATATGAGAGAAAATATCCCCATATGAACCTAGCTCTGCTAATATGATGGTCTGTAGATCCAGACTTTTTTTTCTGAAAATGAATTAATTTCATTCTTTGTGGGCAAAGAAGACTATTGTGTATTTCTTGATCCATAATTGCTGTAGAGCACCTGGGTTGTTTCCATGGGTGTGCAGAGGCCTTTATTATATCTGACTTAGATTATTTCTCATAAATACCTAAGAATGGCATTGCTAGATTGCAGGGGAGTTCTAGTTTTCATTTCTTGTGGAATCTCCACACTGCTTTCTGTAGTGGTTATGTTAGTTTACATTCCCACCAATAGCATATAAGGGTTCCTTTTCCTCTCCAGCACTTACCATTGTTTGTGTTTTTGATGATGGCCATTCTCATTGTAGATGAAATTGCAATATCTTTTTCAGAATGATGGGGTGAATGTGCAGACATGTCAGATCCAGCTGCTAGGTCACCCTAAAGTCTAGACCCTCCCAGGGTCAAGATTGTGTAAACCTTATGATTTGGGATGCAGGAGGGCCAAGAACTGTGGTCTTCCGTTAAGCTACATAGCACACACCCTCCTCAAGGAATTACACAGGTGGCCCATATGGGAGCAATAAAGATATGTGCCAACAGTTCATATTTGTTCCTGAGGAAAAGAAATTGGTTATTATATTCCAGTAGCAATCACAGGAAAGTTAGAAACTTATTCATAAGCTTTAGCATGTGAAAATGTCTCAGAGGGGAGCTTGCTCACATGCAGTTTCTGGCTTCCTTCCGTAGAAATCCTAACTAGGAAGGTTTACCATGGAGGAATGGAAGCTGAACTTGTAACTAAGTCATTAGGAATTTTAGGGGCTCCCTTCACTGCAGTCCATCACCCTGGACTTTGCAAAACATTCTAACAGGGCAGATGTGAACTGGGGATGAAAAGCAGGAGGATATTTGGAGATCTTCCTATTTTCCCACACATCATTCTGTAGATTATTTTTACTAGGTTATAATCTATATAAGTTACTTAGGGGAGAATTGAGACTTACTCTTTTCTTTGTAGGTGGGTGCTGGTCTACCCAGCCCATGTAAAGTAGAAAAACTCCAGTGGACCCCATAGTGTCTTTGTTGCTATAAATCTCAATATAGAGCCTATTTCTTAGGGACTTAAGATATGTGCCATGCCTTGGGTTAAGAAGAAGTCAATCCAGGGAGTCAGAGCTGTGATAAACTAAAAACTAAGGTTTAATCTTCTTAAGCCATTTATTATATTATGTGTATGTGTTATTAGGCCTTGCACATGCTAGGTAAGCACTGTACCAAAAAACCCTAGATTTCAACCCCTTTATAGAATGTCTTCTTTTCCTCAGTCACTGCTTGTTCTGGGCACCCACAGATCCTATTAGGAAGATTTTCTACTTCCTTAGCAATCTATTAATATCCCAAGCAATGTCCTCT